TTAGTTCACAGTAAATGCAGTGAACTCCATCTCTGCATCTGTGAGTTTAACATGCATTTGGCAATGCAATGTGCTCCAGTTATGCTGTTTTTTGTTTTGTTTCGTTTTTTTTGTGTTGTTTGTTTGTTTTTGTTTGTTTTTTACATTTGCACAATTTCTAAAATTTTTGTGGGCAGATGATTACAGTATTCACTACATTTGTAAACCTTTTCTCAACACAGAACACCTGTTGTTGTTTTTTGTTTTTGCCAAAATGAAAGCTTGAAGGGTTCAATCTTTAGACATAAATATTATAATTGTATCACTGCTGTGAAAACAATAAATATACTTATTATGAATTTTTTTTACAGTGCAGTTGTATTACAAGTAAAATATTTTTCTGTAATAATAATAATAATAATAATATTGTATTATTAATGTATTAACATTATTACAATTGTATTGTATTTATAATATAATATAATATAATATAATATATTGTATTTATATGAGCAATATCACTCGAGTAAGAGAGCGATACTGGCTCTGCGGCCTCGTGCCGGAGGCAATCACAGCCGCTGATATAGAGCCGGTATCGCTCGAGTACGAGAGTGATATTGCGTTTATACAACAGTTCGACGGAACATGCGTGTAATTAAACAAGAAACAACGGAGTGCCTAATAAAACCCTCTTTTGTGCGGAACAATATCTCACGGTTCTCAACCAATCAGACTTGAGAACCAGAACGAACTGTTGTATATAATATAATATAATATAATAATATCCCCCCTCAAAGCTATCGGATTTCAGACAACAGTTTCAGTTGATAAGAAAATACTTTGGTTATGGTCAAAAGTAAATTAACCTCAATACTGTTCAATAATTAATTTTGTGGCAGCTTTTCCCCATGGTATTGCAAATAGTATTGAATATTGATATTTTTAAAGGTATTGTATCGAAGTTACAAATTTGAGTGACAACACTACTATTAACCTGTAAGAGCTACTCATAACAAAACACGAAACATGAAACTACTGCTGGTTGACATTTTCTCCATTTCTTTTTCATTTCGATTCCATCCTCTCTAAGGGATAGTACACTCAAGCCCACGTTTGAGCAAAAAATGCACTGAACTATTACAAAGAAAGTATGTCTTCATCCACACTTGTGTAATCAGTATGAGTGTTTCTATATTCTTTAGTGCCAGACTATTAGCATACATTAGCATCTACTGTATCAGCCCACATGCAAGGACAGAAGGAACATGCAGACACAATAAACATAATATCCTGTTCAGTGGTTACAACCAAGGAAATGTATAATACCCGGAGAAAGCTGTCTGCTAGCATTCTCAAACTGTAAAACATAGGCCTATCCTTTTAAATTTAGTGTTAAAAACAATTGCTGTAAAACACACACACAGACAGCAGCAGCTGTGGTTGCCAGAAATTCACAGTAAAAAATATGGTGACAATGTTTCTGGTATTACAGGATATTTTTCAACTTACATCTATATATTTCATTAAGTAATATAATGTTAATATACCAGTACCAAAATGTTCACCTTAAAAATGTATAGATAACCACCATTAGGTGGTAAAATAGAAAGCCACATGATGAAATTAGAGTTCATTACAAGTGGCCTGTACATAAGACTTGACCAATACTCATACATAGACAATGTACAAAGATGTACATAGGGTTTCTGCAGGATTTTTAAGCTCAAATTTAAGACTTTTTAAAGACCTTTTTTAAGACCTGCCCAAATAAATTTAATACCCTATGAGCGGGGTCTGGCAATGCCTATAGTACCATATTCAACTGTAAAAAGCATAATTTACAGTTCAGATACAAGTTTTCACAAAAACAAAAAGTTTTACAAATGATAAACTTTACATTTCAGCCTTTAAACCATTTTTAAGAAAATGGATGAGTCAAAAGTATTAATCATTAATTTAAACAATTATTATGAATAAATTGTTATATAAATTAAATAACATAAATTAGGGGTGTGCAATATTGAAAAATGTTTGATGTTTGAAATTATTAAAAAAATTAAAAGATACTTTAAATATGAAGTTAAAACCGCCAGCAGGTGGCAGCAAGTCACTGTTAATAAGTGAGTCATTGCGATTGAACCGAATCATTTAAACGGGTGATTCATTCAGGAACAAAACAGCGTCCTGTTGTTCAGAGACGCATGCACTCTGTAGGTGTGTTTTGTTTGCTTTTCGCAATATACTCAATGTCAAATCGCACATCGTTAAAACTACAATTACGATATTATCCCAGACCATATCGCCCACCCCTATTAAGATTTTTATAATGTATTGTTTTCTTATCGATCCACCAGTTCACATTTAAAGCTCTGCGTGTTTGCAGGGTAAAAACATGGGTGGATTTTCGCATTTGTCTGAACTCTGATCAAAACAAGTTTTATTGAAATTGCACATTCATTCTCTGGATACCAGTTTCCCCGGTAACGGCAGTACACAAAGCAGCGCAGCACCGGACTTTGAACGTGCAGCGATCATGTTTCATAGCCTTTTGAAGTTTAATCGTCACATTGAACCATATCGCAATTCTGGTCTTTCCGTCCCCAAATTTAAGACCTCTTGAAGTCATAATTAAGACTTTCTTATACAATTTAAGACTCTTTAAGACCCCGCGGAAACCCTGTGTAATAATATGTGATGCATCATGCAGGGACTTCTGGAAACATCCTTTTACTGTTTTTCATTGTGAATTATATAGACATGTACATGTATAACTACATATAATGCAATGGTCAATCATTTGCCGTTTTTCACCATATATAAGGTAACAGTTTTTACAGTCACAGACTCACAGTGTTTTCTGTAGAATTTGTACAGTTTCTGTAACATTTTTTACATGCATTTTAATGGTCATTATTTACATTATAGAAAGTATGTAATGGTCTAAACAATCATCTGAGCTGTAAATGTCATGTGACTAATTATTCATCATGAAAACACTCATGGGCTGATGGCACCACAAGAACAGGCCGACAGTCCCTCAACTAGCACCTGAACTCAATTTAACCTTGATACATTTTTCAGTAGTGTAAAAGCATCGGCTATTTTCAAAGTACTGTAACAAGCTACTTTACCGAAAAAAAGTCACAAGGCAGCTGAAGCAATCATTAAACACACTCTCCCATAATGTCCCTCTCTCTCCTAAGTAGAAAGTCCAATTCAATTTTAGCAAACTGGTTTGTTCAGACAATTCATTTCAATTAACCGGTTAAAAAAAAAAAAAAGATTCAGAGCCAGAAAGTCCCTGCATGCCATTTTATATGACATTTTTTAAACCGAAATATAAAGTTAAAAACTGAGGTTCATTACTAATTACATAAGAGTTGTTTTTAACTCGGTGTCCAATTAGCTGTATTTATAGTAAATTATCCGACACAAATTAATGCTTAATTAACCAATACAAAAATTAATGCTTTATGCTTGAGTTCCTCACTGTTTAATACAAAAATTAATGCTTTATGCTTGAGTTCCTCACTGTTTTTGTATCAAATACTGCCACATATTGCAAAATCTTTCTGATATAAAAAATGTCCCTTAAATTGCTTCAATGTCAAGAGCTACTTTTTGTTAAAAAACCTTTACTGTAGAATAGCACTATTTAACTAGGAGATACAAAAGCAAGAACGCTATTATGCCAGTTTGCTGCAAACACTGACTCATACTGTACACCATCAATGAAAACAAGAAGAGACATTACAAAGCAGCAGAAAGCAAGCTGGTGCATAGTGTGTGCATGCAAGTTTGTTTATAATGTGCTTGCGTGCGGTTCGAAGCACTGAGAGCCCACGTGTAGCGACTGAGGGGGGAATAAACAGACCTCAACCCCTGAGGAGAGCAGCAGCACTCCAACTGAGTATCACACCAGCTATCAACCCTCATCATCTCAGCCCTCAGTGCCGAGAAAAACACATTCTTCACACACAGCTGCAGCCAGCATTTACATCTTCACTCCACTAAAACCATTTGAACCAGTTAGAGAATATCCTACAGTGGCAGTTTTCTTGAAACATTTAGAGCAACAACTAGTCAATTTCATTTCTGATGAAAAAAAGCAAATGGCTCTGTCTCACAAACCATTTCTTGTTGTCGTAGGCATGCTGCTAACACCAAGGCTGCTTCAATCTGTAGTCAGCAAATAATGCTTCCAAAGATACTTTGAAAGGGTTTTGTTTGTGTCTTTCGTGGCCAAAATGCATTGCGAGGAGCTCTGCGAAAAACATAGATGAAGGATCGAGGGAGATGCTGATAATAGCTACATAAAACAACTCTTTTATTCCAGAATCATTAGCAGGCTACATGTAAACAACAGAACAAGACGCGAGCGTCAGCGAGTCTCGTGAGGTTCACATGAGGACCAGGGCGTGCTTGAGTGGCTGTTAAGAAAGTTGCTGCCTGTGAAGGTCTCAGATCAGTGGCTTATGAGATTCTATTTCAGTTATGATGCAGTTTATGTAGGCGGAAAACAGCAACGGTTGGTTTTGAGACAGAGCCACTGTCTTAAACTGAATTTTTGGAGAGAACCATAAATCTTAGAATTCCAAAGGTAGAAACTGTTCCAAATCCTTGTAGCATTTTGAAAATATATGCAATGAATTCTAGGCATTCAACACATCGTCAATTAGTCCATCACATTGGACAAGAATAGAATCACAGTTAAGATGAAAACAGCTGTACCTATAGAGTGAAAACAAGCTTTTTCAGCCACACACAGAGTCAGAGAGTAGCTTAATAGAGTAGTAAAACTCTTCACACCACAGCTTAGCATCCGGAACTACACCATCAGCAAGAATCGATATCATCATTTCTTTACAAACCTTCGAAACAGCCGAACGACAAGGATAATCTTTAGAGCTAACAACACTGAGCCCATAATGCTTTAGTCCACAACAGCAAAACACACTTCTTCCAGGTCTAGCGAGCCTCAGAAAGGTACCTTATAAAAGAAACACCTTGCAGACACTCACCGTTTTGAAGTCCTGGTGGCTGCACTCCTGGCCCTGGAAACGGCAGTAGAGCATCATCTCCTTCAGGTCGTGGCCCACTCGTTCAGTGAACTCCTGCATGCTGAATGGCTTGGGCCGATAGTTAGTGAAGTTGGATTTCTCCGTGAGAAAGGCCAGCACGTGGGGCTCGGCCAGGTGCGGCTCAGGGATCTGCAGGTGCACGTCCAGCAGGGCCAACAGTTCCCCGGCGTGGTAGAGGTCATTCTGCGTGAGACGCGTGAAACGGTAGGCGTTCAGATTACAGACGGTGACGGCGGGAAAGACTAGGCTGCCAGAAACCATAGCATCCACACTAGTGACGTGGGGGTAGGAGAGGAAGTACGCCAGCCGTTCGGTGCTCTCCAGGACAAGTAGGACCAGGCTGGCCAGCAAGGCCGCGCTCCAGAGCAGACGGCGTGAAGTGGAGCGGTAGGGGGAGGAAGAAGTGGAGTAGGGGAAGATGAAGCGTAAACTGTGCAGGGTGCTTCGATGGGCAAAGGACTGCCAAGACGTGGGGCCTCCCAGGCTCCCCATGCCTCCACTCTCAGTCTCACGGCTGGCCTCGCTTCCACAGCCCTCCTTCAGGTCCATTGCTGGCACGCACACACCTGCAGGCAGATACATAGCGACTGTCAGCTTGAGCACAGGCACCTTCTGGCAGCTGATTCTGGCTATATTTCACTTCATTAGAGTTTCCCAGACACATCAATAATATATCACAAAATACAGAGTCTTTCTTGAAGCGGTGGGTTTGACACAAACATAAAGAGACACTGTGACACTGTAAGGCTTTATGAAAAAACATAAAACTGAATGTAAACACCATTGAGAGAAAGGGTTTATATAACATGAACCCTACTGACCAAAGAAGCTGTAACAGTTTTAGACACAGAAATAAGAAAGGAAAGAAGTCAAACGTAAAGAAAAAGAGAAAAGATGGAAAGAAAGCAAGAAAGACAGGAAGGAAGGAAGGAAGGACAGCAAGAAAGGGAGGAAGGAAGGAAGTAAGGAAGTAAGGAAGGAAGGAAGGGAGGGAGCTGAAAGATATTGGGAGGAAGGAAGGAAGCAATAATGCTTTAGTCCACAACAGCAAAACACACTTCTTCCAGGTCTAGCGAGCCTCAGAAAGGTACCTTATAAAAGAAACACCTTGCAGACACTCACCGTTTTGAAGTCCTGGTGGCTGCACTCCTGGCCCTGGAAACGGCAGTAGAGCATCATCTCCTTCAGGTCGTGGCCCACTCGTTCAGTGAACTCCTGCATGCTGAATGGCTTGGGCCGATAGTTAGTGAAGTTGGATTTCTCCGTGAGAAAGGCCAGCACGTGGGGCTCGGCCAGGTGCGGCTCAGGGATCTGCAGGTGCACGTCCAGCAGGGCCAACAGTTCCCCGGCGTGGTAGAGGTCATTCTGCGTGAGACGCGTGAAACGGTAGGCGTTCAGATTACAGACGGTGACGGCGGGAAAGACTAGGCTGCCAGAAACCATAGCATCCACACTAGTGACGTGGGGGTAGGAGAGGAAGTACGCCAGCCGTTCGGTGCTCTCCAGGACAAGTAGGACCAGGCTGGCCAGCAAGGCCGCGCTCCAGAGCAGACGGCGTGAAGTGGAGCGGTAGGGGGAGGAAGAAGTGGAGTAGGGGAAGATGAAGCGTAAACTGTGCAGGGTGCTTCGATGGGCAAAGGACTGCCAAGACGTGGGGCCTCCCAGGCTCCCCATGCCTCCACTCTCAGTCTCACGGCTGGCCTCGCTTCCACAGCCCTCCTTCAGGTCCATTGCTGGCACGCACACACCTGCAGGCAGATACATAGCGACTGTCAGCTTGAGCACAGGCACCTTCTGGCAGCTGATTCTGGCTATATTTCACTTCATTAGAGTTTCCCAGACACATCAATAATATATCACAAAATACAGGGTCTTTCTTGAAGCGGTGGGTTTGACACAAACATAAAGAGACACTGTGACACTGTAAGGCTTTATGAAAAAACATAAAACTGAATGTAAACACCATTGAGAGAAAGGGTTTATATAACATGAACCCTACTGACCAAAGAAGCTGTAACAGTTTTAGACACAGAAATAAGAAAGGAAAGAAGTCAAACGTAAAGAAAAAGAGAAAAGATGGAAAGAAAGCAAGAAAGACAGGAAGGAAGGAAGGAAGGACAGCAAGAAAGGGAGGAAGGAAGGAAGTAAGGAAGTAAGGAAGGAAGGAAGGGAGGGAGCTGAAAGATATTGGGAGGAAGGAAGGAAGCAAACAAAGAAGGAAAAAGGCAAGGAAGGACAAGATAGGAGGGAAGGAAGAAAGCAAAAAAGGAAGGAAGGAAAGAAAGAAGGAGAAAGAAGGGATGAAAGAAAGAGTGGAAGGAATGAAGCATGGAAGGGGAAAAAGAAGGATGGGACGATTAAGGAAGGAAGGAAGGAAAATGACAGAGAGAAAGATGAGGCAGGACGGAAGGAAAACGAGAGAGAAGGGAGGAAGGTGAAAATGATGGGGTGGAAGGAAGGAAGCAAGGAAAGAGAAAGATGGGATGGAAGGAAGGAAAGAAAGAAGGAAGGAAGGAAGGAAAAAGATGGGATGAAGGGAGGAAGAAAAGACAGAAAGATAAATAAACACTAGAAGGAAGGAAGGAGAAAGGAAGATGGGAAGAAAGTAGAAAGAATGCAAAGGGAGAAGGTATTGTATGAAGAAAGAAAAAAGAAAGGATGAAAATTCAGGAGAAGACAATAAAAAATAATTTCAGCACATATACACTAACACATATGCTCAAACAGAGACAAATCAAGGTACACAGACCCCCTGACACCATAGCCAAACTGTCTCCTGTCCAATCAGAGAGAGCGACACATACAGAGAGAGAAAGACCGGGTCCACTGAACACTAGTAGTCAGAGCTGCTCCTGATAAATATCAGGCTGGACCACAGATCTCACACACACACACACACACACATCACTGAGTGAAGGAAGAACAGATCTTGCTCCAGTTAAGCAGTGTGAGAGGGTGGCAATGGAGTGGAAGATGCTGCCCAAGGGTTTCCCTCCGTCTGTTTCTCCACCCAGTGAGAGAGAGAGAGAGAGAGAGAGAGAGAGGCAGAGGGAGGCGGGTCAGAGAGGGCTGGAGAAGATGTTGTCGTTGATCCTGAGTCGACGGAGAGTTTAATAGCTAGCTTCTCCTAGTCTCGCGCTTCCCGCGCTAGTCCAACCAAACCATCACGCGTCCGGTGCTTCACGCTCCTCGCCGTATCCACGCGAGCGACAACTCAGCCGGTAGAGAGATACCCGCACACTTTCACGTGTAAAAAACGCAAACTGAGGTAAAGAGAGAGAGAGAGGCTCGTTCGCTCTTGCTCTTCACGAGACGCTGTGCCGTCTTTCCTCTCTCGTGCTCGCTTTTCTCTCCTCTCCTCCCGCGTGCGTTCATACTCCACTCCTCTCCGCTTAGAGCGTGATGGATGGATACAAGCAGCAGATTGTGAATAAAAGGAGGAACGGAGAGACTGGAAAGAATCAAATACGAAAAAAGGGGAGAGGAAGGGAACACACAGAGTGAGAAAAAAGGGGGAGGGATGATGACAGATACTGTATTTGGTGCTTGGCGGGCGACTACCATCACACTGAAAATGTGTAATGAAAACTGTGAGGCATCTTTAAGTTTAATGCTTGCGTGTGCACAACATTCAAGGCACAAACACTTGAGGGAGGGGGACTGAGAAAAGCAATATGACTGAAAGAGATAGACAAGAATAAAGAGAAAAACAGGGATGGAGAGAGAGATGGATGCTACAAGTGTGTGTTGTATTGCAAGCAGACAGGACAAAAGAGAGAGAGAGAGCACAGGGATTGTGAGATGAAAAATAAGATGACAGCGAGAGCTGAATTTGGAGGAAAGTAAGGATTTGCCAGAAGGGGATAAAAATAAAATTTAAATGGATGAGAGCAGCTGGTGAAAAATTTTGATATATAAATATGTATATATAGGCTATATCATTCCTCCATCTCCGAGCACCACTGTAGAAGATCATTCTACAATACTTTTCGCATTTATTTCTCCTTCCATCTCTCTTCCTGACAGTCATGTAGTGCGACTTTTCGGAAATGACATTGTCTACGCCACGTTTTTCACGGCTCATCTGGCTGGAAATGCCAGACTGCATTAAGACAGCAGAGCCTGAGGAAGTGGACGGCTACTTGAGCTCTCATCACCTCTCATAAACCTTCGCAGATCAAGCAGACGAGACAGAAAGAAGCTTGCTTTATCTTTCACAACAGACCGTAAATGTCTTTCTCTGTTTTGTTAGTTTTTTTTCTTGGTTAGGTAAGTTGGAGAAAATGTCCCTCTCTATTTCATTGCCCTTGACACCCATTTCATTCTCCCCCTCCCTCATCAGTCTCTCTCCCGCACACTTTCATTCCCTCATTCCAGTTCCCTGAATTTCTCATCCGTTTCGGCCCTGGGTACGCAGATGTGAGGAACAGAGAAGGGGAACGAGCAAAGAGGTGAACCTCTGCAAACACATTTACGCAAAATGGCTGTACATGACACACACACACACACAGCTCTAACTCTAAGCGAGGAAAGCGTTTGGCACACAGATCAATAGGCGAGGCTGGAACTTTATACTGGAGCTCTGGCATGACCTGACAGAAAAATACATACTGCCTGAAGCATCATGTCCATTCACCCGAATGGATATTAGATGTACCTTTCAAAAACAAATTATTGGTATCTTCAAAAAAATAAAAAATCTTACCAACCCCAAACTTTTTTCACTTAAAATCATCTCTTTTTTGTTGTTGTTTCTTACCTAAAATAACTGTGCATGTTAACTTTCATTTATTTAATTTTTTGGGAAAAAAAAAACTAACTAGAGTAAAAACCGTAATACTGTGAACATAAAATACATTTATACATAAAATACAACACTTCTTTTTTAATATAATTTAAAACGTATTTTATTACTGTGATGGCAAAGCTGAATTTTTAGCAGGCATTTCTCCAGTCTTCAGTGTCACATGATCCTACAGAAATCATTGTGTGCTGCTTAATATTTTTTGTGGAAACCATGATACATTTTTATTTTCAAGATTCTTAAATGAATAAAAAGCTCAAAAGAACAGCATTTATTTGAAACAGATTTTTTTTTTTAACATTGCAAATGTCTTTACTGTTACTTTTGTTTAATTTACTGTCTCTGCAAAAATAAAAGTATTAATTCCTTAAAAAAAAAAAAAGATAATAACCTCTAACTTTGAACTGTCTAAAATGCTATGGCAAACATCACTCAATCACAAATGTCAGTTTAATTATAAAAGAAACACCTTGCAGACACTCACCGTTTTGAAGTCCTGGTGGCTGCACTCCTGGCCCTGGAAACGGCAGTAGAGCATCATCTCCTTCAGGTCGTGGCCCACTCGTTCAGTGAACTCCTGCATGCTGAATGGCTTGGGCCGATAGTTAGTGAAGTTGGATTTCTCCGTGAGAAAGGCCAGCACGTGGGGCTCGGCCAGGTGCGGCTCAGGGATCTGCAGGTGCACGTCCAGCAGGGCCAACAGTTCCCCGGCGTGGTAGAGGTCATTCTGCGTGAGACGCGTGAAACGGTAGGCGTTCAGATTACAGACGGTGACGGCGGGAAAGACTAGGCTGCCAGAAACCATAGCATCCACACTAGTGACGTGGGGGTAGGAGAGGAAGTACGCCAGCCGTTCGGTGCTCTCCAGGACAAGTAGGACCAGGCTGGCCAGCAAGGCCGCGCTCCAGAGCAGACGGCGTGAAGTGGAGCGGTAGGGGGAGGAAGAAGTGGAGTAGGGGAAGATGAAGCGTAAACTGTGCAGGGTGCTTCGATGGGCAAAGGACTGCCAAGACGTGGGGCCTCCCAGGCTCCCCATGCCTCCACTCTCAGTCTCACGGCTGGCCTCGCTTCCACAGCCCTCCTTCAGGTCCATTGCTGGCACGCACACACCTGCAGGCAGATACATAGCGACTGTCAGCTTGAGCACAGGCACCTTCTGGCAGCTGATTCTGGCTATATTTCACTTCATTAGAGTTTCCCAGACACATCAATAATATATCACAAAATACAGGGTCTTTCTTGAAGCGGTGGGTTTGACACAAACATAAAGAGACACTGTGACACTGTAAGGCTTTATGAAAAAACATAAAACTGAATGTAAACACCATTGAGAGAAAGGGTTTATATAACATGAACCCTACTGACCAAAGAAGCTGTAACAGTTTTAGACACAGAAATAAGAAAGGAAAGAAGTCAAACGTAAAGAAAAAGAGAAAAGATGGAAAGAAAGCAAGAAAGACAGGAAGGAAGGAAGGAAGGACAGCAAGAAAGGGAGGAAGGAAGGAAGTAAGGAAGTAAGGAAGGAAGGAAGGGAGGGAGCTGAAAGATATTGGGAGGAAGGAAGGAAGCAAACAAAGAAGGAAAAAGGCAAGGAAGGACAAGATAGGAGGGAAGGAAGAAAGCAAAAAAGGAAGGAAGGAAAGAAAGAAGGAGAAAGAAGGGATGAAAGAAAGAGTGGAAGGAATGAAGCATGGAAGGGGAAAAAGAAGGATGGGACGATTAAGGAAGGAAGGAAGGAAAATGACAGAGAGAAAGATGAGGCAGGACGGAAGGAAAACGAGAGAGAAGGGAGGAAGGTGAAAATGATGGGGTGGAAGGAAGGAAGCAAGGAAAGAGAAAGATGGGATGGAAGGAAGGAAAGAAAGAAGGAAGGAAGGAAGGAAAAAGATGGGATGAAGGGAGGAAGAAAAGACAGAAAGATAAATAAACACTAGAAGGAAGGAAGGAGAAAGGAAGATGGGAAGAAAGTAGAAAGAATGCAAAGGGAGAAGGTATTGTATGAAGAAAGAAAAAAGAAAGGATGAAAATTCAGGAGAAGACAATAAAAAATAATTTCAGCACATATACACTAACACATATGCTCAAACAGAGACAAATCAAGGTACACAGACCCCCTGACACCATAGCCAAACTGTCTCCTGTCCAATCAGAGAGAGCGACACATACAGAGAGAGAAAGACCGGGTCCACTGAACACTAGTAGTCAGAGCTGCTCCTGATAAATATCAGGCTGGACCACAGATCTCACACACACACACACACACACATCACTGAGTGAAGGAAGAACAGATCTTGCTCCAGTTAAGCAGTGTGAGAGGGTGGCAATGGAGTGGAAGATGCTGCCCAAGGGTTTCCCTCCGTCTGTTTCTCCACCCACTCCATCATTTCAGCCCCTCCAAATGCCAGGATCCTCCTTCTCTACACCATCGCCCTCCTCTATTTCTTCTTTTTACATCTACAAATCTCTCTCTCTCTAACTTTCTCCCACTTGTTTAAGAGAAGTTAAGAAAATGCACAGAGCAAATCCAGCACATATTTCTGAATCAAGTTTGGCAACAAAAAAAATGGTATTACTTATAGAGTCATGCCAATAAAGCTATTTAAATTTAAACTGACAGAAAAACATTACAGAGCTTAAAAACTATCCCATCCCCCATAAACAAATTCATGCACGTGCACACACATACACACACGGTCACTGGACATCCAATGGCAATTCTAAGCACCTCACGTGCAGCCTAACGACACAACATCCAGCCGTGCATGAGTGTGTGAGTGTGTGAGAGAGAGAGAGAGAGAGAGAGAGAGAGGCAGAGGGAGGCGGGTCAGAGAGGGCTGGAGAAGATGTTGTCGTTGATCCTGAGTCGACGGAGAGTTTAATAGCTAGCTTCTCCTAGTCTCGCGCTTCCCGCGCTAGTCCAACCAAACCATCACGCGTCCGGTGCTTCACGCTCCTCGCCGTATCCACGCGAGCGACAACTCAGCCGGTAGAGAGATACCCGCACACTTTCACGTGTAAAAAACGCAAACTGAGGTAAAGAGAGAGAGAGAGGCTCGTTCGCTCTTGCTCTTCACGAGACGCTGTGCCGTCTTTCCTCTCTCGTGCTCGCTTTTCTCTCCTCTCCTCCCGCGTGCGTTCATACTCCACTCCTCTCCGCTTAGAGCGTGATGGATGGATACAAGCAGCAGATTGTGAATAAAAGGAGGAACGGAGAGACTGGAAAGAATCAAATACGAAAAAAGGGGAGAGGAAGGGAACACACAGAGTGAGAAAAAAGGGGGAGGGATGATGACAGATACTGTATTTGGTGCTTGGCGGGCGACTACCATCACACTGAAAATGTGTAATGAAAACTGTGAGGCATCTTTAAGTTTAATGCTTGCGTGTGCACAACATTCAAGGCACAAACACTTGAGGGAGGGGGACTGAGAGAAGCAATATGACTGAAAGAGATAGACAAGAAAAAGAAAGATATAAAAAAACAGGGATGGAGAAAAAGAGAGAGAGATGCTCCAAGTAATGCAAGCAGACAGGACAAAAGATAGAGAGAGAGAGCACAGAGACTGTGAGATGAAAAATAAGATGACAGCAAGAGCTGAATTTGGAGAAAAGTAAGGATTTGCCAGAAGGGGATAAAAATAAAATTTAAATGGATGAGAGCAGCTGGTGAAAAATTTTGATATATAAATATGTATATATAGGCTATATCATTCCTCCATCTCCGAGCACCACTGTAGAAGATCATTCTACAATACTTTTCGCATTTATTTCTCCTTCCATCTCTCTTCCTGACAGTCATGTAGTGCGACTTTTCGGAAATGACATTGTCTACGCCACGTTTTTCACGGCTCATCTGGCTGGAAATGCCAGACTGCATTAAGACAGCAGAGCCTGAGGAAGTGGACGGCTACTTGAGCTCTCATCACCTCTCATAAACCTTCGCAGATCAAGCAGACGAGACAGAAAGAAGCTTGCTTTATCTTTCACAACAGACCGTAAATGTCTTTCTCTGTTTTGTTAGTTTTTTTTCTTGGTTAGGTAAGTTGGAGAAAATGTCCCTCTCTATTTCATTGCCCTTGACACCCATTTCATTCTCCCCCTCCCTCATCAGTCTCTCTCCCGCACACTTTCATTCCCTCATTCCAGTTCCCTGAATTTCTCATCCGTTTCGGCCCTGGGTACGCAGATGTGAGGAACAGAGAAGGGGAACGAGCAAAGAGGTGAACCTCTGCAAACACATTTACGCAAAATGGCTGTACATGACACACACACACACACAGCTCTAACTCTAAGCGAGGAAAGCGTTTGGCACACAGATCAATAGGCGAGGCTGGAACTTTATACTGGAGCTCTGGCATGACCTGACAGAAAAATACATACTGCCTGAAGCATCATGTCCATTCACCCGAATGGATATTAAATGTACCTTTCAAAAACAAATTATTGGTATCTTCAAAAAAATAAAAAATCTTACCAACCCCAAACTTTTTTCACTTAAAATCATCTCTTTTTTGTTGTTGTTTCTTACCTAAAATAACTGTGCATGTTAACTTTTATTTATTTAATTTTTTTGGAAAAAAAAAACTAACTAGAGTAAAAACCGTAATACTGTGAACATAAAATACATTTATACATAAAATACAACACTTCTTTTTTAATATAATTTAAAACGTAATTTATTACTGTGATGGCAAAGCTGAATTTTTAGCAGGCATTTCTCCAGTCTTCAGTGTCACATGATCCTACAGAAATCATTGTGTGCTGCTTAATATTTTTTGTGGAAACCATGATACATTTTTATTTTCAAGATTCTTAAATGAATAAAAAGCTCAAAAGAACAGCATTTATTTGAAACAGATTTTTTTTTTTAACATTGCAAATGTCTTTACTGTTACTTTTGTTTAATTTACTGTCTCTGCAAAAATAAAAGTATTAATTCCTTAAAAAAAAAAAAAGATAATAACCTCTAACTTTGAACTGTCTAAAATGCTATGGCAAACATCACTCAATCACAAATGTCAGTTTAATCAAGTTGCATCTTCCATAAATCATATTCACCCTCATATCACTCAAAACTTATATAACATTTTTCCAGTGGAATAAAATTAAAGCAGCACTTTCCATTCAACAAAAATAAATGGTCATTAATGGCTGTCAAATTCAACTGCAATTTTGGTTGGTTTATTAAAAAATTATTTTCCTTTTCCATCCTAAATAAAAATGTATCCGTAGCTTTGCTATCTCATATTTACTTGTAAATCCTTTTTTTCCCCTTTGTCTATACTCACCAAGTGAGCTAGAACTGGCACTGGTGTCCCATCAAAAAAAAAAAAAAAAAAGATGCCCACACCCACTGCCATATGGTCCACAAAGAATGACAGCACATTGACACTACTCTTCACATTGTAACCTTATATTGTGTTATTCTGCTTGATCCACAGAACACACAGACCTTTTTTTGAAGTTTTTTGGACATGTACTGATTCTGACTGATACTGCGAAACCAATTATTTTCATGTTGTGGCTAATAAATGGCACATATTAGAATTGCAATAAAACAGATCTTTGGCTATTCTGTTGCTTCTAACAGTTTTTTCTGCATCTTGCACGACAAAAAAAAGGACATTTTTTTTCAACTACTTCAATTTAGGACTGTCACAACATCAGATTTTTCACTACAGGATTATCTTGTCCAAAAGAATTCACGATAATGATATAATCGCAATATCTATAGAAATCTTGAAAAAAATGCTATCAGTCACATACATCTTTACTTATATTGTGTGTTTTTATTGTATTTTATCTTATTTTATTGGCCAATGAATCACACCATTGCATACAAAAGGGGACAATTATACTAAACTGCATACAGTTTAAAATTAAAATAAATAAATAAAAATAAAAAACACCTTCTGTGAACTGATGTGCCTTCTTATCACAGAATGAGAAATTACATTATTATTTAATTCTACACAGTGATAAAGGCTATGTCACTTAGCACTGCATTTTAAAGGGGTCATATGACGTTGCTAAAAAGAACATTATTTGGTGTATTTGGTGTAATGAAATGCGTTTATGCGGTTTAAGGTTAAAAAACACATAATTTTCCACATACTGTACATTATTGTTTCTCCTCTATGCCCCGCCTTTCTGAAATGCGTCGATTTTTACAAAGCTCATCATTCTGAAAAGCGAGGTGTGCTCTGATTGGCCAGCTATGGCCCTCCAATGTCAGAAGGGTGTAAATACAATAGAAAGGCGTCAGCAGTTAACAGGTTAATGTAACATTTCCCGTTTCAGGGCTAACAAAATAGTGCAACTTACTCTCTGTACAGTGGCGAAATCTGCAGGACGATATGGTGGAGGAGGGTGAACAGGTTGGTGGTATTTCCCCCTTTTTGCGCTCACTGCTGATCGGATCTGAAGTCCTGCAGACTGGGGTGATTAGAGCCAAGTTCACACTATATGACTTTAAACGTTGGCAGATCGCTGTGCTGTTCAGACTACATGATTTGCTGTCTGTCTTGAAGTCGTTGTGGTGTTCACACTACATAAATGATCTGCAACAGGGGGTCACACACTACAGGAGCTGACAACAACTCTGTCACCCAACGACTCCACACGGTCCCCAAACCACGTTTTTATCATGCAAACACGTGAGAAGTGGAACAAGAATTCCGCAACAACACGTGAAAGAGTTGTTTATTTGAATATGGGCGTCGGGAAGAAATTAGTGCTGCAAGCTATTTGCGAGATGATCCGTTATGAAAAAATGTGCTCCATTTCTTGTGTCCAAACTTTTCTTAAAGGTGTTGTATGTAGGATTGAACTAGGTTTTGCAGTCCAGATTCAAAATATTGGAGAGGGGTTTTTTTTACCCTTCCCCTCCTCCTCAGACTTGACACACACGCAGGTTGCCAGATTGACGACACCAACAGGAACGAGCGCACCTGACGATGGAAAGCATCGAGCCTTACAATGTAAGTTGATCAGCTAATGTATACGTTTGCAATATTTGTATTGTTTGCAAATTATAAACCACCTCATGTGGATTTTTATAACTCTGAATCTGCATCTCATTTCGGAGGCTGCTGCTGCTTCCTCCGGAGGTTGCATTTGTCGGCCGCATACATTGAGGCGGGCCAGTTGTAACAGTAATCAAGTACCACGAAACACAGTACTGTTTGAATGTTGAATTTACTTAAAATATTCCTACTAGTAGCCAGGATACATCAGCTAACTAACTTTAGCTAATTACTTACCTGTAGTGATGTTATGCTTGACACTGAAGCTCCGAAGCTTGTATCAAAAAAACAACACATTTTACATCAAAGCATTGTATCGGAGCTTGATTCGTTTTGCCAAAAGCACGTGATCTATGACGTTTGAAGCTTCGTTCGTCTGAAAACCACGTGACTGCTTCAGTATCTGGTTCAAACGAAGCGAACCTCAGCGCCGTTTCCTTTACGTTATATTACTTTATAATGTGTCAGCATTCTTTTCTCTTTTTTTTATATCGCAATTAAATATTTAGCTCAAATTAACTTTGCCTATGAAATAACAGGACTGAGGCAGAGTTAAAATAGACAGATCGCGGATTTAATTTATGATTTTGTTTCATTTATTTTACTTATTTTAGTGCCAGTACACCGACACAAATGAATGACTTTGACAATGACCATTATTTATATACAATAAAAAAAAAATCAGATGTAGAACCAGATGTGAAACCAGCGGCTGTAATGGAACGCAGCACTTTGGAAGGTGTTATTCATTTTTAT